AGATCTGGCTGCGCCGCCCACCTGGCTTTACTGGGTCGTTTCCTCCTGGTACCCAGTGGAGCCTCCGGCGGCCAGTCTACGGTCTCCGCCAGGCGCCACGTGAGTGGCACGACACACTGAGGACTACACTTGCGGCTCTTGGGTTCGCGCCGTCTACTGCTGACCCGTCGCTGTTCCTGCGCACAGACACGTCGCTGCCGCCGTTCTACATTCTCGTGTACGTCGACGACTTGGTTTTTGCTACTGCTGACACTGAGGCACTCGCTCGTGTGAAGTCGGAGCTGCAGAAGAGACACACCTGCACTGACCTGGGTGAACTGCGTAGCTACCTTGGCTTGCAGATCACCCGGGACAGAGCACGCCGCACCATTACCCTGACTCAGTCACACATGGTGCAGCAGGTCCTTCAGCGCTTCGGCTTCCAGTTCTCCTCACCACAGGCCACACCTCTGGCTACCAGCCACTCGCTCTCAGCTCCACCTTCGGACGAGTCCGTAGAGCCGAGTGGCCCGTACCCAGAGCTTGTAGGCTGCCTCATGTACCTGATGACTTGCACTTGACCTGACCTCGCGTACCCTCTTAGCATCCTTGCTCGTTACGTTGCGCCTGGGAGACACAGGCGAGAGCACTGGGAGGCTGCTAAGAGGGTGCTGCGTTACTTGTGCAGTACGTCAGGCATGGGGCTGGTGCTTGGAGGACGCGACAGAGTTGTCCTCACTGGTCACTCGGACGCTTCTTGGGTGGACGACCTGGCTACGCAGCGGTCGTCACAGGGTTACACCTTCAGCCTTGGCTCTGGTTCTGTCTCGTGGCGGTCCACCCGCTCTTCTTCTGTTCTCGGCTCTAGTTGTGAGGCTGAGATCTACGCCACGGCCATGGCTGCACAGGAGTTACGCTGGCTCACCTACCTGCTGACAGACTTGGGAGAGCGGCCTAGTTCTCCTCCAGTTCTGTACGGTGACAACAAGGCGGCCCTTGCCTTGTGTCAGGAGCACAGACTGGAGCACAGGACGAAGCACATTGCTCTTCGCTACTTTCTTGCTCGAGAGCTTCAGCAGCGCGGTCAGCTTCGGCTTGTGTACGTGGACTCGAAGGCCAACACTGCTGATATCTTCACCAAGGCGCTCCCGCCTAGTGATCATCAGCGACACTGTACTTCTTTAGGCCTTGTGTCCACATTCCCTCATTTGCTTACTGCTTGACTTTCTTTGTACTGTACTTTATATATATCTTGTTGCTTGCTTGCTAGGTTTTGATCACTGTGCTGCTTGTCTTGTACTATATCTAGCACTGCATGTGAACTGGCCTTGAGGCCTTTGCTTGTGCTCGGAGTGTGGTGACGTTGTGATCCACCCTGGGCTTGCGTTGCTTTGCTGGACTGGTCTTGTGACCCTTTGTTCTCCCCCACTTTGCCTATGGGGGTGTGTTAAATTGTAATGTGTTATATGTTGGTAGGCTGTAGTGGGGTAGCCAATATGGGGTACAACCCAAACTAGGGTTTCCTATTTGTACCCTTGCTTCTTTCAATCCAACCATTCTTGCCTAGTTCTATTAACAACATAGTGCGGCTAAGGTTTGCAATCGATAGCTGATCAATTGCAAAAATGGCTCAAGTATGTTTATTGTGCATCCGAAGCGATACAGTTTCGAGGAGCTCACTTGTGCATAGGACACTTCCCGTGTGCTCATGTTGTGAAAAAAGCACCTGCGGAAGTGAAGAGGCTAAGGCCCGAAGTTAGTCACTTGGAGGACCAATTTCTCAATTAAGGAGTGAAGTAAGGAATTTGATCAGCCAACTAGATCAGTTGAAGAAGCAAGTTCTTGAAGCAGAAACGATGAGAGCACCCTTGAACAAGTTGCAGCTGCTTGTAGGTAAACTGAAGAGCTTGCTAGAGACATCGCCATGCGATGTGACATTGGAGACATACGATGGAGGAAAATTTTCCGCTCATCGCTGCTTTCTTGCTGCATAGTCAGTGGGCTACTGCTACTATCTGCTCCCTGCGGTTTTGTTTTTTTTTGTTTTTCATCACAAAGAGTTATCCTTCATTCGATTTTGCAGGTCTCCAGTCTTTGCAAAAATGTTCAGCAGTGGGTTGAAAGAGGAACAGACCGGCTCTGTTTATATCGAGGATATAAGCAGTGCAACAATGGGGCAGCTGATTGGTTATATGTACAGTGGCGACATACGTATAGAAAATGCAACCATGCAGGTGAGGTGTCTACTATATACCAAAATGCTCTACAATTCTGCAGGTATTTACTTCACTATTTTTTCACATGCAGGAATTGAAGCTTCTTGTGGCAGCAGACAAATATGAAGTGCTAGAGCTTAAGGAGTATTTGGATTCACACCTGGTCAAGCTTATGGACAACGAAGTCGCCTATGAGAGCATCATGGTACCAATGGTGCATATCTAAAAAATTGAAAAGCATGGCTGAAATAACCATCTTATTAACATTTATGGAAGCCCGAAAGCAGTCACCACCTCTCGTTCTTTCATAAACATGGTTTCTGTTACATGTGCAATGACTGCAGGAAGCCTTGCTGAGTAATGATCAGGGAGAGGCAGGTGGCTGTTAATCTTCTGAATAGGTCATGGAAGAAATCCTGAATGTGCGGTACGTTCTACCGCTGGATAGCAGTAGCACGAAAGATCGTGATGCATGTGTATATAGTTGACTGAATGTTTTACAGTCAATCATGAACAGGGTGCTTGCTAGGTCCCCTGTCTTATTAGGTTGGGCTGGGAGAGGGAGAAACTGGATATACAACTGGGGGGGGGGGGGGGGTGAATGTGAAAGCCAATGGGGGGGGCGGGTAATCAGGGGGTTTGGTGAGGTGAGCATGGCGTGAGACTGGGGGGGTGACGTGAGTAGCGGACGGTGAGAAGAGCAGGGCGATGGCAGGCATGGCATGAGACAGAGGGGGAGTGGGGCTGTGAGTCGCTTAGGGAGACGGGGACACGTAGGTTGGTGGCACAATAGGGAAACGACTAGCCACGTGGGAACTAGCATTGTGGTGAGAAGTCAGGATTAAGCGAAGAAAAGGGCAAGAGAAACAAAGTGGGCAGTAGAGACGAGTGAAGGGGAAAGAGGACTTAGCAACTATTTTGCTCTGCCCACATCGTTCTCCCTTCCTGCCTGGTGTTCGAATTATTGCTTGGTGGCCTATTTTGATATGGGAAACGCCTTTGAGGTCAAGGCGATATTCATCTAGTGACCAGTTACCCTCTACCCCCGACCCCCCCCCCTCTCCTCTCCCACAGCCCCCTCTAACCACCTTCCTCCCTCCTTGTCACAGCAGTCGGTGAGGTTGCAGGAGATGATGGAGAGGAAGGCGTGGTGGTGGTGTTTCGGAAGAAGACTCTGTGGAAAAAATCCCTGCCGGAGTAACCATGACTCAAAGTCATCTGTTCCATGGGTGGATTTTGAGAAGCGCTTAAAAAACCGCGTTCCGGCGGGCGGGGAGGGAATCTTGGATGTGGCAGCCAGGCATTTGATGCGCCAGTCTATTGTGCCTTGGAAACCAGTCAGGTGAGGAAAGGGGGGAAGGGGAGTGATGTGATAGGAGATGTAAATGATGTGTTTCAAACGGGAACGAGGTATTCGATGTGTTTGGTCGCTTGGTATGCTTCAGGTGAGGAACTAATCGGGCAATAAAGGGGTCGGGGGTTGCGTGAGTTGGGGGGGGCGGACTTGGGTTGGTGTGTGTGGGGGGGGGGGGGGAGGGGATGTTAGGGGCTCTTGCCTCAACGATTGTCTTTTGAGGCACCTCAAAAGGGAACTGATGAGGGAGGGGGATCTGGGTTTAGCATGCCGAACTTCCAGAATGGACAGGAAGGAAGTGATGGGGGAGAGAGAGTACGAAAGAAATAAGAGAAGGGAGGTGGGGTGGGGTGGGGTGGGGTGGGGGGGGGGGGGGGGGGGGTAGGCTGCTTTGGTGTGGTGTCCAGAGAAATCCCTATGCAGCAGAACACCACACCTAACCGTTTTGGAGTTACGTTTTAGACACCGCTGAGGTTTTACAATTCCAGGAGTTGAGGTAGCTTCAGTCTGGCGCTTTGAAATCACTTCTTATACTTCTTTGCGGGTGACCTGGTGTGGCAAGGATTTGTTGCTGCTGATTATACTTCTCCAAAATGCAGTAGCCATGAGGGCAAACGCCAGGCTTTCTTTGTGGTTGATCCGTTCTGTGTTTGGTTTCTTCAGCCCAAAGGTGAGTCAGAACATGCGGTACCTACCCTCCTCCTGAAAGCCCGAGCTTACCATTTGGCATTTCATGGATTTTGTGTGGTGGGTGGCGTGTGCAGGTAAAGGGCTCCTGCGAGTAGGGGGTGGATTCGATTCCACGAGTACACTTCTGCGGCATGATTTGTTTGGTGAATTTACTCCTCAAATATGGTGGGGTCATGTTACCTGTACCATGACCATATCTTTGTGGTCAGGCCATGCTTGCAAATGTAATGCTGAAGGTGCAATTTAAAACAGGTGTTATCGATGGCCAGTCAACACTGCTCCCTTTCTGTTTTGGTCGAGAGTTCTGCTAAATTTACCAACATAAATGGAGTTGCGACAATAAAGTGCTAAAGCCACGTCGCAATAATTAGTCGCCCTCGTGATGCAGTTCCGTTACGACGATGTGGTAAATAGAAAATGGGGCACAAGCAAACATTGTTTTTTGCGGTTAGGTTGAAATGTTTAGTTGGGGTGTTAGCGAAGCTGGCGAGTTAGTCACTCTGAAAAGCGGACGATTTGCCAAATACATTCGCAGTTCCGTGTACGCAGCTGCTCACTCTGGTCTAGTGCATGCGATCATGGCAATAGTAGGCTATTGCCATTATTGTTCTCAGTACAAGACGTGCAGCGTGAAAAATGTTTGCGTTCCCTGTGACAAAGTGCGGAACGACTCACATAAAGTCGCGCAATCTGAGAGCCGAGTGAAAGAAGCCGAAGCGAAATTAGTCAAGCTCAAATACTTCGCTCGGAAAGTCGAGGAAATGCGAGATGCGGCATTTTGCGACGTAACTCTGCGACCACACGAAGGAGAAGCTCTTAAAGCTCATCGCTGCATTCTAGCAACATGGTATGTTACTGATTTTTCTTGTCCTGAGGGATAACGTTACTTGCTCGCCTCTTGGTACCTTCCTCTTTATGTGCTGTACGTTCTCTCAGTGGGCTGCCACAACAGTTGTGTTTTTGCGCCGAGGTTACCACAGGGACTCCTATATGGAGCCCCCTGGTTTACCCACAGCTGAGTAACCTGGGGGAAACCTGGAGGTAGGGTTTGCGAACCCAATATCTGCGATGCTATGCGTTTGGTGCCCCGTGTAGGTCACCAGTTTTCGCGAAAATGTTCAGCAGTGGCTTGCAAGAAGAGAAGAAGAGCTCCGTTCACATACAGGATACAGACGGCCCTACATTAGAGAAGCTGATTTCGTTCATGTATTCTGGCGAATTACCTCTGGAAACGGCAACCATGCAGGTGAGTTCACAGTCATCCAGCTAAATTGAATTTTGAATTGTTCTGATTTCTGTGTTCCTTCCTATGCGGTGCAGGAAGTTAAACTGCTAGTGGCAGCGGATAAATACCAAGTTTTAGAGCTCAAAGAACACTTGTGCTTGTCTCTGTGCAAATTCCTAAGTGATGACATTGTGTTCGAGGCATTCAAAGTAGCTGACATGCACGATGCCCCTTCAGTGCGGCAAGCCTGTGCAGATTATATTCTCAAGAAGATGGACCGAAAAGCAAGCTCCCCTATTATAATGGTAAGTACAAACCGTTATACAAAGCTTGTAGTGCTGATTTTTTTTCACCTTTGGTTATAAACGTGCGCATTTGAGGTGTGCAGGAAATGCTGCTTGGGGAAGACCCATAGAGCAAGAGACTGGCAGCTGAGCTTCTGGAGAGGGGGTGGTTGAATACATGACGTGCAAAAATGCATAGCGGAGCTTTTGAGGTCGATTCAGCTGTCAGCGAGTCAGCAGGCTCTGGGTTGTATAAACGCTCATTGGATTTTCCTCAAGGCGAATGCGGTGAGAAATAACGTTCAAATGTGTTTGCTTTGCATTCTCCACTTAATGTGTGGTATGTTGTGGACGAAGATGATTATGAATCTGCACTGTACAGAGCTAGCCTCTACATTCATTTTTGTATTTAGCTTAAACACTTTTGCTGGTTGATTTAGAAACCTCGAATACCATCTGGTCTGAAACTGCTAGCTCACAATTGAAGCCTTAGATGCACAGTATGAAGTAATTATAAATCAATCACTAGAATATGTACAAGGCGAAAATTTTTCTCTACAAAGCAGTGTGGGCCTTTCCTAACACATGCACCTCTAGTTGAAACGTACCTGTACACAAACCACCTCAACAATTCATCAGGCCCCTTACAAGGCCGTTGTGCACCCAACCCTACCGTCTCCTGCCACCACTTCAAATATCCACAATCAGGGTCTCCTGTGTCGAATCAAACGTCTCCAGGTCCGACATCGTGAACGTCAGACACTGTGAGGTGTGCGAAACGGGTAACGGAGCCAGGAGGGGGTTCGACGACGCAGACTCCCGAAGGTTCAAGAACGCATCGTGCTGGAGATCGGAGGTTGGAGGGGCGGTCATGCAGCTGGCAGCGAGTGATTGGCTGGCATAAACGAGGGGAGCTTCCATAGCACCAGCAGCAACGGGGCTTCGGATTGTGGCCATAGTGAGTTGGCTTCTAGAGGGGATATCAGCCATGGAATCGCGATCTCCTTGGGCCAAAACGATTGCTGGTTGAGGGGAAGCAAGCGAGCCAGGTGAAATCACAGATGCATCGATCATCGCCTGGCCAGCAATCACAGCACACGATAACCCGCCCATGCTGGCCAACGCGAGGCTGCCACCTGGCTGCACCCAGAACGAATCTCCTGCCGAACCTGTCGCCTTAGCCTCCTTCTCAGCCTGCTGCTTATGATGCACGTAGAACATCAATGGCGGCAAGATACCGTACAGCACGGTCATGCCGTATGCGCCAGCTGCCTTGCTCGCCGCGACAAACGCGCCTGGGTTGGCTAAAGCAACCGCGAGAGGCGGGCAGAGGGCCAGAAGGAACCCCACCTCCCTCACATGCGACCTTACAAACCCTAATCCAGCCTCCTTAATATCAACCCCTCTTGCACCACCCTCCTGCTGCTTCTGCTCCTGATCCTCCGCTTTGGCCTCCGCGGTTTTCCCGCCAAAAACCAGGTTTCCGATCTGCTCCATGTAAAACTCGGAGAGCGCGAGGGAGGAACCGAGGAATGACGTGGCAACGGCCAGAAACGAGAACGCGAGGACGGCGGCTGATTGGAGGGGCGTGGCCTGGTGCATGAACAGCTGGAAAGGGTCCTGCGCGGGGAACGCGAGAGCGGGAAACGCGGGGGCGGAGAGCGCAGTGGCTAGAGAAGTGGGGAACGACGACGCGAGATTCGCGAACGACGATCCGACGGCGGTAACGGACGAGAGGACGGACGAGGCGAGATCCCCGGCGTTAGTGCCGGCAGCGGCTCCGGCGGCGCCGGCGGCGGCGATGGAGGTCGGCGATATGGATAGCACGATGGCGTCCCAGGTTAGGAACATGGCGAGCGGCACGGAGCTGCCGATGAGGAGCGCGGTGCGGATCTTCCGGAGATCCGCGTCGAGGTACGCGCAGAGGACGGGGACGAGATCGTGGAAGACGAGCGCGAGGAAGATGACGGGGAGCGTGGATGACATGTCGGACCAATCAGCGAAGCCCAGCTGGTCCCAGTCCGCCAGCGTGGAGCCTCCGCAAACCAGAGCCGCGAAGATTCCTGAGAGGAAGCGGAGGAAAGAGGTAGAAGGTGGAAAAACATGAGCGACGAATGTCATACAATGAAAGTGGCAGATGAAACACAAACAAACAAACGCATCACAAACAGAATGCGTGATCGCTTTCAACCACGAAGGACCGGTTCGTACCGAGCAGGGCGGCGGTCAGAGCTCGGTTGACGAGGTCAGCGGTGCGCGTGTTTCCGCAGTAGATCAAACCGCCGAGCACCGTTGCGAACCCCGATGCACCGACCCAACGTGGCAGATCCGTCCCCAACGACATCACTTCGCCGCCCTTTGCGAAATACGCCACCATCAGCGTAAACGACAAGAATAAATACGCCGCGGTTGCTATCGTGCCGCCCAGAGGCCCGAGTGTAGCCTCGGCCATGGTTCGGTAGGAGAGGACGTCCGAGCCTCGCTCAGCCTCGGCACCGGACGCGTTAGCGGTGTTGCTTTTATCGGATCGCTCCTTGAGCAGCGAGACATTGACTTCGGCCAGCAGCAGCGCTTCAAGGACGAGAAAGGCCCAACAGCCGATGAGGACCATTGACGAAGGAAAGAAGCCCTGTAAGAACGAAAGTACGAGCAGAGGGAAAGAAAAAAAAAAAAAAGTCAGATACCAGACGAACAAGAGACTAAAAAGTAGCAGCAAAATCCCGCTCAACCCCCCCAACCCTACTCGCCATCCTTGCCCCCCTCCGTTCCCTCCCTCTTCCCCCCACCCCCCTGGGCGGTTTTGGTCCGTTACTCACCGCAGGAGCGGTTTCGGATGGCAAGGCCAGCACGCCCGCGCCGACGGACGAGCCAATAATGAGCGTGACTGCACCGAGAATGGTGCCGCCGCCACTCCGCGACGCGGGAGGGTCCGCAGATACCGCTTCCTTCGCTACATCCTCGCGCAAGCATTCACTTCTATCGCCTGCGACGGATGCCCGCACTTCATGCCGGGAAGTCCGGGAGGCTAGTTGGCGGCGGCGAATGGATTGCTGCAGAGAGGGTAACCCGCTTTGTTCGACGTTTACGAAGCTAGACGAAAAAGCTCGAGCTGATCCAAGCCCGGTTCCGATCATTGCGGAAACTGCGGTGGCGTCGCCACGTGGCAGTCTGAGAAGCGAGCCCTGCGGCACATGCAGCTGTCGCGAGCTGGGGCTGTAGGAAGCGCAGGTGGTGGCAGCGCTGCTAAGCGCACGCACGGTTGACAGGCAACCTGTCGTCGTTCCAGCGGTAAGAGCCATGATTGGACGTGTTGGGTGGTCAAAAAGTCCGGTTCGATAAGGTCAGGATCGGTATCGGAGCTCGACAGAAGCTGTCGGTTGTTCCGTTCGCGGAAAGGAAGCGAACTATACACGGGGTTGGTAGGCTCAAACACTGGAGCGAGGGAAAGGTGCGATGATCGGGTTTGGTTGGGCGAGGGAAGTTGCTAATGCTGTACAATACTGGGGTATGAGAAGTTAGGACTCGATTTATAGTGAAATCCAGGGCTCCCTGTTTAGACGTTCAATCTAGGGCTGGATTTGCCTGGTCGTGAGCGTGGGTGCGACGGACAGACAGCTGGGGGGAAGCTGATCGGGGCCAGCGAGGGATGGGGGGGAGGAAATGGGGTGGGGTGTGGGGTGCGGGGAGGGGGGATCTTGATTCTTGACGGACAAAACAACACCTTTTCCGCAGATTGGGCGGACCCGCGCAGTGGCGGCGGGTTTTGGAATCTCGAACCGCAGCAGCACTGCCCAGAAGGGGCTGGACAGGAGGAGAATTGGCGCGGAAGTGCGCGGGAGAACTGCAAGGGCAGAAGAAGCACACAAGCGCTCGCACAAACTGCGGGGAAATGGCCCCTCGCGGTTGGGGAAGCTGGGAAGAAGTGACGTGGACTTGCGCCCCCGCACTGGTTTGCCCTAAGGCGCAAGCACGCGCGGGTCGCAACCACGGGCCACCGCAGTCTGGTCCTCTTGTCGCGCAGTAGGTTTCGATGGATGGGGAGGAAGCGGGGAAGGGAAAAACTTGTGGCGTTTACGACACGAGTGTGGCCAGCTAGCCAATCACGGAGCGATCTGAGAACTCGTGTGTGTGGTAACCTTTGATCAGCCAACGAGAGCCATAAAATGAGGCTCGGCCGGTGACACGAACCTGATCTCATCCAGTGAGAGTTGAGGATAAGAGTCTAGTCATACCTTTTCAGATAATGAAGGGTCACTTATAACCACATTATTGGGTGTGCTCCTCTCAGAACTCTGTTTACTGGGCACACGAAGTTCCACGCTGGCTGTGACAGAAAATTGGCTCGTGTGAGTCACGTTTCACACACCCCAGCAGCTTCTGATGCCCCTGATTCGTCTTCAATTCCACGTCACAGCATCTCCACCAGTAGAATGTCGAATTTACGGACCAATCGGATGTGGTATGTGGAACGCCAAACCAATTGTGACAATGCACATCCTCACCACAAACAACTCGCTACTATATAACGGTTGACTGGACGTATTGGTGGGTGATTCACTAGACAGAAAAAGCTTGAATATCCGCATATACCATCATGTGAAAAAATAACTGGAAAATCAGCCTCAACCTGAAAAGGGGCCTGAAGTCTCAGCCTTTCCACCCAAAAAGGTTTTTCTGCTGACTTCTGAGGCCCTGTCTGGGACCCAAGCACTTCAGCCTATGTACGCGTGACTTGGGACCTATTGGTATATTGAGTGCATTGTAAGCATTCAACTTACAAATCAATGACTATCAAGCACAACGATGATGACAATATCAAAACATGCTTCATATCTCAACAACACTTGGACTGTCAAGCAGAGGCAGTTGCAGGTCTGATGTGTCAGGAGCCGATTGGCTCGCAAACACGAGAGGCGGATTGACCAAACGAGCGTTAGCAGCAACAGCAGGACTATTCACTACCGCTGCTGCTGCACCAGAGCAGGAAGCCGGATCCACACTGCTGCTGGTGCGGCTGCTGCTATCGTTATTGATGCCATTGTTGCTTCTGCTGTTGCTACCCATTTCGTCACCGCTGCTGCTGGCAGCAGAACTACACTGCTGCGCGCTGCTATCCAGTACCGAGTCGCTCTGAGCGAGTACAAACGCCCCTCCTTCCCCTCGTGAAGACAGAAATGAAGTGTCAAGCGAAGAATCAAGCAGCGCTTGCCCGGCGATGACGGAGAAAGCGCAGGCCCCCATGCTGGCTAAGGCAAAGCTGCCTCCCGGCTCCAACCAGCGGTGGTGTGTTGAACAATCCTTGGTTGCTGGGTCACACACTGTTGCTTCCTGCTTGGGAAATGACCAGAATACAGAAAGCAAGCAGGGGGCGAGGGGGGAATGGGGAAGTGGAGGGAAAGAGGAGGAAGAGAGGGAGGGAGAGCAGAAAAAAAATCCATTCGAGGCTGCCTTGCATGAGCGGGAGGGAGAAGGCCTGCCGCCTTACTCGCCGCCACAAACGCGCCCGGATTCGCCAGAGCCACCAGCAGAGGTCGGCAGAAGGCCAAAAAAGCACCCGCACTTCCCCACCTCACCCCACCGCAACCCACCGCACCCACGGCACCCCACCGCACCCTGCCGAACCCCACCTTCCTCACCTGCTTGTGATGCGCGTAGAACATCAATGGAGGCATGATCCCATACAGCACAGTCATGCCGTAAGCGCCAGCCGCCTTACTCGCCGCCACAAACGCGCCAGGATTCGCCAAAGCCACCAGCAGAGGCGGGCAGAGGGCCAAAAGAAACCCCACCTCCCTCACATGCGACCTCACAAATCCTAATCCGGTTTCCATGAAATCCAGACCGTTGGTTCCACCCTCCTGCTGCTCCTGGTCTTGCTTACTGGCCACAGGGATCCCCACCTCCCCCACATGCGATCTCACGAACCCTAACCCGGTTTCCATGATATCACCAACAGTAACGCCTCCCTCCTGCTGCTCCAGAGCCTGATCCCTCTGGTCCTCCTCCCTCCTCCTGACACCCGCAGAGGGACCAGAGGGATCTGTCAGCTCCTCCCGCATCTGCTCCTCCTCCCTCCTCCTGACACCCGCAGTTACTAATCCCAGTCGCTCCTCCTCGCCTCCTCTCCTCTTGTCACCCACAGTTATCAACCCCAGTTGCTCCATAAAGAATTCCGCCAGGGCTAGTGATGTGCCGAGGAACGATGTTGCTACGGCAAGGAAAGAGAAGGCGAGAACGACAGAGGATTGGAGAGGCGAGCCTTGCAGCAGGAGGAGGTTCAGCGGGTCTTGGAAGGACGTGGAGAGCGAATGAGGGAGTGAGGGAGTGAGTGAGGGAGTGGAGAGGGCGGTGAAGAAAGAGGAGGGGAGGGAGGAGGCGAGGTGGGAGAGGGAGGAGGAGAGAGAGGAGACGGCGGAGGAGAGGGAGGTGAGGGAGAAAGCACCGGCAGGAGCAGCGGCGGCGGCAGCGGCGGCAGAAGTGAGGGAGGAAGGAGAGATAGAGAGAGCAATGGCGTCCCAGACTAGAAACATCGTCAGGGGTGCTGCACTCCCGATCACGATTGTCGCCCGAATCTTCCCCAGATTCGCGTCCAGATACGTGCAGATCACGGGAATCAAATCGTGGAAGACCAATGCGAGGAAGATCACGGGAAGAGTGGTCGGCATTTCTGACCAATCAGCAACTGCCAGCTCATCCCAGTCCGCGATTGCTGCCCCTCCGCAGACCAGCAGGGTAAATATCCCCAGCAAACCGGCTGTCAATACCCGGTTTATTATATCCGCTGTTCTGGTGCTGCCGCTGTAAATTAAACCACCCAGCACCGCAAAGAACCCCACTGCACCCACCCAATTGGGGAGACCAGTACCAAACGCCAAAACTTCCCCTCCTTTTGCAAAATATGCGACTATAAGGGTGAAGGATAAAAACACGTATGCTACTGTAGCTACAGTGCCGCCCACCGGACCTAGAGTCGCCTCGGCCATGGTTCGGTAGGACAGGACGTCCGAGCCTCGCTCAGGCTCGGGTTCTGAACCTGCAGCTCCGGAACTGTTACTGGTAACGCCGCTGCTGGTGCCGCTACTGCTGCTGCTGCCGCCCCTCCCGCCGCTGGTGCTAACGGTGCTGGCAGTAGCCATGCTGCTGCTAACGGGGCTGCTACTAACGGATCGATCCTTAATGAGAGCGACGTTGACTTCCGCCAGCAGCAAGGCCTCGAGACACAGGAAGGCCCAGCAGGCTATCAGCACGAACGACGAGGGGAAAACACCCTGAGAAAAATACATTCGAGAAGGGATGGGGACGAAGGAGGGGGAGAGGGGGCATGCGGGGGGCGGGGGAGAGGTGGGGAGTGAAGGGAAACGGGGAAGAGGAAACGCGAGTGAGGGAGGAATGCAGGAGGATACGAGTCTAGCGGCGAGTCTCGCGGTCAACTTCAACCTCTCCATATCCCCGTTTCCCCTATCCGCCCACATCCCGCACAACAAGCTTGCGGCGGGAGCAGTCTCCGCAGGAGCAAGCACTCCCCCCCCACAACACCCCCCTTCCCCCACCCGGCGCAAAGAACACACCGCGGGAACCAGCAGCGCCAGCATTCCCACCTTCCCCTCCCCCTTTCCCCCGCCTTCAACACCCCTCCTTCACCTCGCGCAAAGAACTCACCGCAGGAGCAGTTTCCGCGGGAAGCGCCAGCACGCCCGCGCCGACAGACGTTCCTATAATGAGCGCCACGGCTCCAAGGATTGTGCCGCCCCCGCTTCTAGAACTCGCCGTTGCGTCCTTGACAGGCGGAGCCGCCGCCGCCGCGTTATTAGCTGCTCCGTTTGGCGCTGCGTCACCCGAAAGTGACTCTAACGAAGGGTGATGTTGACCGCTGTCGCTCTTATCGATGCCATCGCTCGTATCGATGCCATCGCGAACTACCGCTCTGTTTTCGTTAACAACGCCGGGCTTATCCTCTCCACCGAGCTCTACCCCCCCACGCGCGGGACCGACTCCCTCGTCACCTGCACACGTCGCCACGTGTCTAAATCCCCGGGTTTGCCGCCGCGACTCCCGCCGTAAGAACCTCGCCTGGCCCTGCCACGGGCCTCTCGGCCAGATCGTATCTTGCCGCGACTCCCGCCGCAACCAGCGCTGCTGTTGTTCAGCGGCGAGATGCGGCTGGTGTCGACAGGATCGAGCCGCGGGGCTTGTAAGCGCAACGTTTGTAGTCTGAGTCGCCGTTCGCGTTGCTAAGGCGGGAGATGCGGCGGGGTCGCCACGTGGCATTCGCAGCTCTGATGCGCAACTGTCGCAGCTGCTGCTACACCCCAGCACGGATCTTACTCGTAGGCTATGCGACGTTTCAACCGTCACACGACATGTTCGCATGCATCGCAGCGATCGATCGACCGCTCCGCATCTGCCGCCGGAATGCCGCTTGTGAACTCTAACGGCGGCGAATCCCAACGAGCTACCGTCGCTGGGCCCGTCGTGGCCAGACGCATCAAGTGCGCCATCGTTACGCCCCGCTTGAGTGCTTCGCTGGCCGCAGCTGACCGCACTTAACCGTGCCTAACCGTACGTTGCCGCAACTAGCCGCACCTAACCGACCGTGTCAGAATGTGCGTGGCCGAGAGGCACGAGCTAACAGGAGAGTAGGAACGCCGAGGGAGAAGCTGAGTAAGTAGGTAGCGCAGAGAACATGTAGGCAAGCGAGAGGGAGGGAATGGAGTTCAGACCAGAAATCAAGTTTGTCCTCGATATAGTGCACTTTCGAATTATCATGACCACTCCACTCACGCGCTCGCCCCCTCTCTCCCAGCGACAGTCAGCAAAAGGAGGTGGCGGGAGCGCAGTTGCGGCCGAAAACCGAACGAACCAGCGAGAAGGGTTGTGCGTCCGCGCATCGTCGATTCGCCGCACAATTGTTGGGTGGGGTCAGCAAATCAGCGAGCGCGAAGCAGCGTGTCGACCAGGAAAGACCTGCAATTCGCACGCTAGGGATAAACCGGTGCAGACAATTTTAGCTGGTTTCCCTGTACGCAACGTATTTCTGGGTGCATAGAACGAACCGCCCGACCCTAAGGAGGAACAAGCACAAGCGCATATGGTAATTTCAAGCGGACAAAAAGCCAATCCCTCCGATTTGCAAACTTTATGGGCAGATGTAGATAAAACCGAACCATATAAAAGGACCTGCAACGGAATGTTAAACACGTGTCTCCACGTCATGACCACCCCACGAAGCACACGGCTCGAAGATTTCACGGGGTCCACCAGAAAATGCTGGTCTACTCAGCACAAGTGCAGATTCGAAATATCCATGTCAGACTGGCGTGGCGGAACATTCACGGCCCGCCACACATTCATCCCCGCTACAACCATACCTTGAAGATAGTGAAACAATGTGTGATAACCATCAACCCATTATGAGCAAGTGTACCACACAGATATGGACAAGTTCATTTTGTTCACCTGGCTGGCGCGCTTCCCAATCTATTCCATCTCCTACCCCCTTTCTGGTTAAAGAGTCAAATCAGGCTTCAATGCTCTTGAACCCCAACTCGTGCAGCACTAAGGTGCGTTTTTCCAGTCAATTTTCAACCAAACCTACCAATTGTTCGTTAGAAAACAAAGATCTTAGTCGTCCAATCTCTGTCGCCTTCTAGGAGGGCTTCTGTCACCTCTCTCCTCCCCTCCCGCATCACTCCCTCTCCTTGCTTGCTGCGACGCTGCCGCTACAGCCATTGCTGCTTCAGCTGCCGCTGCCGCTGCTGCAGCAGCTGCAGTTGGTGCAACTGGTCCTCCTCCTCCTCCTCCCCCTCCTCCTCCTCCTCCTCCTCCTCCTCCCCCTCCTCCCCTGCCTCCTGCTCCCCTTCCTCCTCCACTTGCTCCTCTCCCCCCTCCACCCCTCCCCCTTTCCTCCCAGGCCCATTCTACCTCCTCCCCTTCCTCCCCTCCCTCCCCTCATCCCTCCCCCTTCCACACCAGGAAACTCCCCCCTACCCATACCTCTCCCTTCCCCTCTTCCCCCCCCTCTCCCTCCACCTCTTCCCCCCCCTCCCATCCCCCCTCCTGGATGTCCCGGGCCATCTCCCGGACCTCCCTGCCACCGAACCTGCGGCGGAGGCATGGGTTCATTCGGACCTCCCATCATACCTCGAGGAGGAGGCTCGGGAAATCCGTGCCGCCGATCATCCAGCGGCTCAGGAAAACCATGTCTTCCTGGGCCTCCAGGCTCGGAAAACCCCTGTCGTCCCAGACCTAACGGTTCGGAAAATCTCTGCCTCCCCGGGCCTGGAGGCTCGGGAAACCCAGGCCTTCCCGGACCAGAATCCCTGGGGAAGTGAGAAGGAGGGTTGTTGAAGTTTGGATTGTGCGGGGGAGGTGGCATGTGGGGAGGTTGTGCTGATTGTGCTGCTCATGCTGCCCTAAGAACTGAGGGTGAGAGGAGGGGGGAGGGCGGTCCTGAAACGACGGCCTATCGTGCATGACTTGCCGATTAGTAGGTGGCATGGGTTGGCAGGATGGTTGGGAGCGGTGGGAGGGTGTGAGAGGTGGTGCGGGGGAGCGTGTGAAGGAGGGTGGGAGGGAGGGTGGGAGGAGGAGAGGGTCGGCGGGAGGGACGAGAAGTGGGGGTTCGCGTGGGGGAAAGGGGGTTCGTGGAGGGGAGGCATGGGGTGGGGGGGGAGTGAACCCTCTCGGGTCGAGTCTGGGTGTGAGAAGTGCTGGGGGGGTGGTGATGTTTGGTTGCGAGGGTGGGGGGAGGGGGCGGGGGAGGCATGGTGAGGACCCTGTCTTCCCTGGGGATGGGGGGGATGGGGGGCGTGTTGGGGATGGGGGGGATGAGGATGCTGAGAGGGATAAGGTCCGGATTGGGGGGGTGGTTTGGGGGATGTGGGGATGACTGGGAGGGGAGGGAGTGGAGCATGTGAGGGGGAGGGTGCGGGGATGGGTGAGAGGAGGGGTGCGGTTGGTTTTGGGAAGGGGGATGGGGTGAGGCATGGGGGGGATGATTCGGAGGTCCGTGCGGGGGACCGTGAGGTCCGGGATGTGGCCCGGGATGTGGTCCGGAATGAGGCCCGGCATGAGGTCCGGGATGTGGCCCGGCATGAGGTCCGGGATGTGGCCCGGCATGAGGTCCGGCAGACACAGAGCGCCAGTCAGCATCGGGGAAGGCAGTGGTGAGCTGTTGAAAGAAGATTCGGAGAAAATGATGTAGCTCCACTGATACCTGCAACGCACACATGCAGATAAAGCAATGGGAGGGAGGGAGGAAGAGGAAAGGAGAGGGTGAGCAGGAGTTTGAAACACAGAGGTGAGCTGCTGGAAGAAGATGCGGAGGAAATGGTGGAGCTCCACTGATACCTGCCGAAGAGTTAGAAGCACAGCAATGGGAGGGAGTGAGGCAGAGGAGAGGGTGAGAGGACAGATATGGAGAGTGGAAGACAGAGGTGAGCTGCTGGGAGAAAATGCGGAGGGAGAGAAAGTGTAGCTCCACTGGTACCTGCCGAAAGTGTAGACACAGAGACAATTGGCGGAGGGAGGCAGAGGAGAGGGCGAGAGGACAAGTATGGAGAGTGGAAGACAGAGGAGAGGTGACGAGTAAGGAGATTGAAAGGCAGGGGTACGTTGCTGGAGGAAGATGCGGAGGAAATCACTTTTGAGAATTCTCAAGAAGGGGTGTAGCTCACTCACCTCTCGGTGACTTCTGAGTCGACTTAAAAGTCACCTCACGCACCTCTCGGTGAATTTTGAGTCGACTCAGAAGATGTGGAGGAAATCACTTCTGAGAATTCTCAAGAAGGGGTGTAGCTCACTCACCTCTCTGCTGCCCTTGTGCCATCGCAAGTACCCCTCTACAACCATCCGAACATCTTCAAACACCTGCACCACCGATTGGTACCCCCCTGAAAACAGCCTCTCTTCCACCCCTCCCATCGTCAGCCCCATCTCCTCCATCTCCCCTCCTCCCCTTCCTCCCCCTCCTCTCCCTCCACCTCTTCCTCCTCCTCTCCCTCCTCTGCCCCCACCTCCCCCGCTTCTTGCGCTGTCTTGACTTGCCGATTCATCTAGCAAGTATTCTCCGATCCTCTGTCCTCGGCTATCCAGGGAGGCATTGAATTGCATTAGCATGTCTGCACATTTCCGAACCGCAAGCCCGGCAGGAGGTCCGACAGCCGGCGGAGGTCCGGGCCGAGGAGGTCCGGCGGAATGGATTGGTCCGGCGGGATGCATAGGTCCGGTGCGGATAGGTCCCCCAGGGGGAATAGGTCCGGTAGGAGGTCCGGAGGGGAGTGAGTGCTCCGTGAGATGCCTTGGACCGGAGGGAGACATAGGTCTGGCCGAACCAGAGATAGGTCCGGAAGAATGAGGAGGCAGGGAAGTGGGGTAAGAGGATTGGTGAGGGGAAGCAGAAGGGTGATTGGATTGCAGTTGTGGTAGTGGTGGGGGAGAGGAAAAACCCGTCTCTCTTCTCTCCCCGATCCCTCCTCCCTCTCTCATCCCCCCTCCCTCGCCCATCCCTCTTCCATCCCTCATCCCGCCTCCATCCCTCATCCCTCTTCCATCCCTCATCCCGCCTCCATCCCTCATCCCTCTTCCATCCCTCATCCCGCCTCCATCCCTCATCCCTCCTCCCTCTCTCATCCCCCCACCCGCACGTGCTGCTGCTGCTGTGCCGAACCTTCCTCCTCCTGGGTGCCTACCCTCTTCCGAACCTGACCTGAAGCCCGGAGGGTTACCGAACCTGTCATCCCGAGCCTCGTTCCTCTCAGACCTGTCTCCCCAAACCTCGCCCTCACCGAACCTCTCATTCCGCACCTCACTGCCACCGAACCTGTCCCTCTCATCCCTCCCATAGAAATCCCTTGGTGTAGTAACCCCCCTTCCAGGAAACTCCCCTCCTCTTCCCCCCTGCCCTATTCCCCCCTCCTGTCTCCCTCCCCCTCGCCCTCCCCTCCCCACTCCCTCCCTCCCCCCTCCTCTCCCTCTCCCCCTTCCCGCTCTCCCTCCTCCCCTCCCTCCTTCCCTCCCCATTCCTCGTCCTCTGCCTTCCCCGCTCCCCACCGCACTCAACCGCACTGCACTCTCTGGTGGGGGGCCGGGAGGTGGGGGTGGTGGCGGCAGCAGCTGTGGTCCCCCAGAGAAACCAGCACCAGCAGCAGCAACCGCAGAAGAACCACCAGCGGCAGCAAAACCAGAAGAACCACCAGCAGCAGCAACCGCAGAAGAACCACCAGCGGCAGCAAAACCAGAAGAACCACCAGCAGCAGCAACCGCAGAAGAACCACCAGCGGCAGCAAAACCAGAAGAAGCAGCAGGAGAAGCAAGGGACACCCTTAGTGGTGGCGGTGGCGGTGGTGGTAATGGTAAACGTTCAGCCATACCACCTCCACCAGCCCCACCTCCCTCTCCCTCTCTTCCCACTACAGTCTCCTCTTGAATCTTCCACACCCATTTTCTTTTCCCACCTCCCATTATCTCGTGCCTCGCTCCCCCTCGCTCCCCCCTGCCGCCTTGCCCTCTCTCTCCTCTTCCTTCCAGTTGATTACGATTCACCTGCCACTGGTCCTGACCTTCCCGTATTGCACCCTCCTCTTTCATCTCCCCTTCTTCGCCCCTCTCTCCTTCCTCCATCCCCTCTCCCCACTCCCCTCTTGCCTCCCATCCCTCCTCTCTTCCCCACTCTCTCTCCTCTCCCTCCTCCCACTCCCCTTCCTCCGCCTCCCCTTCCTCCCTCTCCTCTTCTCCCCCCCTCGCCCCCTCCCGCACACCCTCTTGCAACTCTACCTTTCTCCCTCCTCCCTCACCTCCTCCCCTCACACCTCCCTCACTCTCCCCTTGCACATCCACCCCCCTTCCCCTCACCCTCCCTTCCTCTCCTCCTTCCTCTCTACCCTTAGAGTCCTGCCTAGGAAATGCGTCACCACTCCAAGAGTGGTGGCTTGGGATTTGATTCAACTGCTCTTCTCTACGCTTAGAGTCCTGCCTAGGAAAAACACTATCGCTCCCCCGCCTCCTCTCTCCCACTCCCTCATCTCCCTCTACCCCCCTTTACTCCCCTTTCTTGCTTCCGCTCCTCTCCCCGCCTCTCCTCGCCCCGTTCCCCACCATCTCCCCGTCTCTCCCTTCGTTCCTTGCTTTCCCTGCTTTCCCTTTCCTCCCTGTCTCTCATAGTTTCAGTAAACATCCCTCTGCTATCTTTACTTCCGTCAACACTAACCCTCCTTCCCATCTCCTCGCTTCTCTCACTCTCCCTCCTCTCCCTCCCTCTGCTTCTCTCTCGCTCCCCATCCCTTCCCCTTTCCAACTGCCCCTCCTCTCCTCGTCTCTCACGCTCCCTTCTTTCCTTATTCTCCCTGCTCTCTCTCCTCTCTCTACTCTCCCTATCCTCCCTCTCCCTCTCCTCCCCTCTCGCCCTCCCCTTCTCCCCCACCCCCTCTCTCAACCCCTCTTTCTCCCCCTCCCTCCTGATTCCCCTTTCCCTCTCCCTGTCTCGTTCCCTCTCCCTCTCCCTCTCCCTCTCCCTTCGCACCTTCTCTTCTTCCTCCCCCTCCCGTTTCCTCTCCTTCGCACTTCCTCTAAACCTCTCCCTGTCTCTCCTTTCATCCCTCTCCTCTCCCTTTCTATCCACCACTCCTTCCCTCCCTCTTCTGTCTCTATTCCCCACCTCCCCTCTTCCTCTCTCGCTCTCCTCTCCTCTGCCTCTCTCTCTTCCTCTCCTCCTTCCTCCTCTCCTCACTTCTCCTCTCCTCCCTCCTACTCTTCTCCTCCCTCCTCTTCTCCTCATCTCCTTCCATGGCCTTCCAACACCCTCTCCCCTTCAACCACCAACCCATCATCCCCCTCCCTAACCCTCCCACTCTCCCTCCTGCTCTCCCTCCCGCTCTCCCTCCCCCTCTCCCGCCCACTCTCCCTCCCACTCTCCCTCTCACTATCCCTCCCACTCTCCCTCCCTCTCTCCCTGCCCGCATCCCTCTTTCCAGAATCACTTCTCAAACCAAAAGCAGCCTCCTTGTTTCCCCCTTCCCCAACACCCTCCTCTCGTCTCTTCCCTCCTTCCAACCCTCCTTCTCCCCACTCCCCTCCTCTTTCTCCCACGTGCTCCCCCTCCTGCACACGACTCCCCCTACCTGCCCCACTCTCTGCCTTTGCCTCTTCCACTGCCTCTCCCTTCCGTCCCCCTGCTCCTCCCACATCAATCTTGACTTTCTCTTCTTCGTCCTCCTTCAAACCATAACCTGAGACTTTAGCTTCAGCCACATCACTTTCCACGTTATTTCCCTTCACAGCTCCGGCCTTCCACTCCAACCTCTGCTCCTCACGCCCTATCCCACCATCCCTCCTTTCACTCTCCTTCCTCTCGGCCCCTCCCTTTTGTGCCTCGTCCCTCCCCTCCTCATGCTCTAATACCTTCATATAAGCAGATTCGTTTCGATCAGCATAACCTTCTGAAACTACTCTAGGAAGATCTACACCTCCTCTGCCCCGTAGCTGTTTTTCACTAGCTCCCTTCTCCTCCCTCTCCTTCCTCTCCTCCCTTTCCTTCCTCTCCTCCCTCTCCTTCCTCTCCTCCCTCTCCTCCCTCTCCTCCCTCTCCTCCCTCTCCTCCCTCTCCTCCCTCTCCTTCCTCCCCTCCTTCTGCTCCCTCCCCTCCCTCTGCTCTTTCTCCTCTCTCTCCTCCATTCTGCCTCCTTCACTCTCCCTTCCACCACCCCCTTTCTCCCTCCCCATTTTCTCCTCCTCCTGCTCCACACCATACCCCTCCTCACCCATCCCAACACCTGCACCATCCCCAATTTTCACATCATCCCTCAATCTCTCACCATCCCCAACCCGCCCACCACTGCTGCTGCTGCTATCGCCAGAGTCACTGCTACTGGTGCTGCTGCTGTCACCGCTGTCACTGCTGCTACTGCTACTGTTTTCGCTACTGCTGCTGCTGCTTGTGCTCTTTTTGCTGCCGTCTTTTCCCCCCTTCTCACTGTCACCACTCCTCTTGCTGCCGGTTCCGCCACCAATGCTGCTGCTGCTGCTGCCACTACTCCCACTCTTGCATGGTTCTTCTCTCTGTTTTGCCCGTTTCAAGTGAATTTCCTTTGCCTCTGCCTCCTCCTGTCTCTCCTCCCCTCTCTCCTCCTCTCTCTCCTCAACTCCTCTTTCCCCTTCCCAAGCCATCACAGACAAATGCAACTTCTTCCCTCCCCTCTTCACTCCTTGCAGCATCTCTGCTCCCTCCCTTGCTACCTCGTCCCCCTTCCCTCCCCTCTTCACTCCTTTCAGCATCCTGGCTTCCGAAGAACCTACTCCTACTTCTACATTCGCAACACCTCCTGCTCTCCCTGCCACTGCCCCCTCCCTCGCCACCTCACTCCCCTTCACTCTCTCCAGTTTTAACACTCGCTCCGTCTTCTCCTCTCTTTGCACTCTCTCCCTCTCAACCTTCTCCCTCTCCTCCCTCTCCTCCCTCTCCTCCCCCCTCCCTCTCCCGTCCCCCCTCCCTCGCCTTCTCCGTCGTTTCTGTCTTCACACCAACGGCACTCTGCTGGTGATCCGAGCGGCTCCTGCTCCTCCTCACACCCCAACCAGCACTTACCAAAGCATCATGCTTATCCTTCTTCCTACGCCCTCCACCCCTCCCAGGCAGCAGAATCCTCCTTCTCTTCATCCCCCCAACCTCCCCATCTGCTCCACCAATCACCTCTCCGTCTCTCTCCCTTTCCCCCTCTCCCACAATCTCTCCTCGTATCTCTTCTCCTCCTTCTCCTTCCTCTCCTCTTCTCTCTTCTCTCTCTCTTCCCTCTCCTTCCTTCCTCTGCCCACTCTTCACCCCCACTCCCTCCACTTCCCATTCCCCCTCTATTCCCTCTTTTCCCACCCCAATCGCCCCTCCCACCCCTCCCAAGCCTTCCGCCCCTCCCTTCACATTTTCTTGTGATACCACCCCCAGTTTCCTCTTCCTTCCTCGCTTCCTCCCTGTACCAGCAGCAGCAGCACCAGAATCACCACCAGCACCACCAGCAGCAGCACCACCAGCAGTAGCCGCAGCAGCACCAGGACCAATCTTTTCCTTACCCACCTCAAGGCCACTCTTCCCCTTCCAATCCCCTTCCTTCACAACAATCTCCTCCTTTGCTTCTCTTCCTCGTCCTGTCTCCTCCCCAGCCAGCTTCCCCTCCTTCCTCTGCTCGTCCCTCACACGCTCCTGAACCAACCAGCTCTCTTTCCCTCTCTTCTCCTCCTCCGCCCCCTCCTCACCCTCTCCCTCTTCTCGCTTCCTTTCCTCTCTCCTCTCTTGCCCCCTCTCCTTCTCCTCCCCCGTCACTATACTCGCCATACTCCTCTTTTTGCTCACCCTAGGACTCGGAAGTACAGCACGAGACTCTTTAAGAGCCGACTCGCTATAAGGCTCGCCCTTAGGCTCGTTAGTATACTTTCTCTCAATCTGCAGCTCGCGTTTAGAAGAAACAACCTGCGGAACCCGAAACGGCTCTACCTGTATTCCCGGCCTAGCTGTTCCCTCCTCCCCTCCCTCCTCCCCTCCGTCTTTCCCTCCCATCACTCCCTTCCTCCCTCCCTTCCCTCCCATCTCTACCTTCTCTTCCCTCCCATCCCGCACACCCATCTTCCCAACCAATTCCCCCTCGTCCCTTCCCGCGCCCTCCACCCCCTTCTCCCCCCTTCTCTTCCTCTCCCCTTTCTCTTTCCGCTTTACCCTTTCCCCTTCAGCCCCTACTTCCCTCTCTGCTCCCCTCCTTCCCTCTGCTTCCCTCTCGGTTTCCTTTCCTACTAAAACCTTCACACCAACCCTCTCCTCCTTCCGACCCTCACCTTCCCTACCCTTGCGCCTCCCTTTCCCATCCTGCCCCTCCTTCACCTCCTTCCTCCCTTTCCTCTCCTCCCCATCGATTCTCTGCTCTCCTCCGCCCATCATCCCCTCCTCTCCTCCTCCCTCCCGCCACTCACTCGCACTCGTCTTGCCGTGACCGCTACTGTGCTTGCGCCGATGGTGGTGGTGGTGGTGCCGGTGCTGCTTCTTCTGCCCCTGCTCCTTCCCCTGCTCGCCTCTCTCCCATTCACCCTTCTCCACAGTCCTTTGCTCTTTCCTTGCCGCTCCTAGCCCTCCCATGGTCCCCCATCCTTCCCCTTCCTCCTCCCCCACTCCACCTCTCATCTCATCCCTTTTATTAACCTCCCCACCGACTCCCTTTAAGAGCTTCAGCCGGCCGTCACTTCCCTTGGACAGCTTGAACTTACGGCCTGCCTTCCTCCCTCGCTTCCTTTCACCAGTTAAGTCTTCTATATCCCTCCCAAGCTCGGAAACCCCCATTGTCTCCCCTTCCTCCACCCTCTCTCTATCTTCCATCATCTCTCTCCCACCCACCCTCTCTCGACCGCCCCTGCTCCGCATCTCTTTCCCTCCCTGCATTCTCTTCCCCCTCCCCTTCCTCCTCCCCCCACCATCTCCCCCCAACCTCTCACTATCACCCTCCACCCATATCCCCTCCTCTTCCTCCTCTTCCTCTTCCTCCTCTTCCTCCTCTTCCTCTTCCTCTTCCTCCTCTTCCTCTTCCAATATCACCTCCTCCTCTACCGCACCCCCAATCCTTCTCTTCCCCAGCTTCCCAACCCCTTCATCTTCCCCTTCATCTGCCTCCTCCTCTCCATCCCCCACTTCGACTCCCCCACTTTCTCTCACCCAGCGAACCTCCTCGCCCTCTCCCTCCCCCTCTCCTTCTTCCTCCTCCTCTGCTGCTGCCCCCTCTTCTCCCTTCACACCCTCCCACCCTTCTACCTCCTCCTCCTCTTGTACCTCATCCTCTCCCTCCTCTTCCTCTTCCCTCCCCTTCATCCTCTTATCCTCCTTCCCCCCTGCTCCTCCCTTGTCCTCCTCATCTCCCTCCTCCTCACCTCCCTCCTCCTCTTCCCCATCCATCTCCCCATCCACCCCTTCATCCCCCAAAATCATTCCCTCCTCCTCCTCCTTCCCTCCCTCCGCCCTCTCAACACCTCTACCCGCTCTCTCTCCCGTCTTGAACTCCCCTTCCTCCTCTTCCTCCTCCTCCTCTTCTCCCACTTTCTCTCCCTCCACCTCCACATGCTCCTCCGCCGAACCTCCTTCCGTTCCTCCCTCTTCCGAACCTGCCGCCTTCCTCCGTTTCCGAAGCGCAGGCTTGGCAGTAGTCACAGCAGCAGCAGCCACCTGCTTCGAATTCGCTCTCAGCCAAGGCACCACCTCCCAAGGCTCCTCGACCAATCGCGGCCATTCCTCCTCCTCATCCATCCTATCAAACAGCGCCAGCTCATCGTCCCCCCGGGCAATCATCCGGTTTACCTCGCGCATCGAGGGTACATCCGGAACTGCCTCTTGGTACCGCTCTACATCCTTCAGCAGAGCTTCTAAAGTCATCCGCCGCTCTTCCTGCGTCGTGCGTTGGTCGAACCGGCCTGCGTTAATAACCTCATCAGCCATTTCTATCTTGTGTTGCTGAATCTTGGTGCGAACCAGTGTTTCTATGGAGCCTATGTATCGCGATCCTTCTACTTCTACTTTCTCCCTTCCTCCTCCCCTACCTCCTCCCCTTCCTCCCCTTCCTCCCCTTCCTCCCCTTCCTCCCCTTCCTCCCCTTCCTCCCCTTCCTCCCCTTCCTCTCCCTGCCCCTGCTCCAGCTGTTGGTGACTGCACCAACCCATCCCCCCTCTTCCTCTTCCTCCACCTCCCCTCTCTCCTCCCCCCAACACCCCCTTCCCCTCCCCCATCCCCCGCTCCCCCTCCCCTTTCAATCTCATCTTCTTTACAGTACGCTGCAGTAACCTCTGTAACCGCCTCAAGATACATCACCAAAACCTCCCTCTTCTGCCCAATCCTATGCGCCCGTGCCACAGCCTGCTCTTCATTCTTAGGATTCGGATCAGGATCATATATAACCACCGTATCTGCACTCTGAAGATTCAGCCCCCGCCCAGCCGCCCGGATGCTCAGCAAAAAGACAAAATGCTCCGACCCAGCCTTGTTGAACTCGCCGATAGCTGCCTCGCGAGCATCCAACGGTGTGGATCCGTCGATCCGGCAGTACTTAAGATTCCGCCACCGCAAATAGTCTTCTAAAAGGTCTAGGAGTTTAGTCATGGTGGAGAATAGTAACACCCTGTGGCCCGTGCGATGCAGTTTAAGCAGAACTCGGTCTAGGATATAGAACTTGCCGCACGTGCGAACGATCACATCCGGGCTGTAGAAAGAGGGGCCGCTAGGGTAACCAGCACCTGACGCACCATATGACTCCCCACCGGCACCAGCACCACCAGCAGCAGCACCACCAGCACCAGCAGCACCAGCAGCAGCAGCACCAGCAGCAGCAGGAGGAGCGGGAACAGCAAGATCGTACGAGGAGTAGGTGAGAAACGGGTGGTTGACGACCTTCCTCAGCTCCATGCACTTGTTCTGCACCGGCACAAACTCCCTCACATACCTCTGCACTGTACTCCCGCTGCTCTTCCCCGCAGCCACCCGCCGAGCCTCCTGCTCAGGGTCGGTCCGAAGCGTGCCCGTGGCTCGGACCCAGTCGTAGATCGCGGCTTGGCAGGCGGAGAGCGGGCAGCGGAGAACGACAGAAGTTTTTTTCGGCAGGCTGCCCTCTACATCTTGGACCATGCGGCGCAGCATGAAAGGTTCGAGAATCTGGTGTAGACGGTGAATTACAATCACTTTCTTTTCTGTCTCAAGCCAGTCGATCTCATCCGCTGCCGCTCCTCCCCCTGCTCCCCCTGCTCCTCCTGCTCCTCCTTTGGTGTCTTTTTGGAAAGGGGAAGCGAACCAGTCGTTGAAAACCTTACTTGAATCGAACACGTCTGGAAGGAGCAGGTTCAGGAGCGACCAGAGCTCCCGCAGGTCGTTCTGTTGGGTTGGGACAAGCAACACACAGGGCGAGACAGTGCGCGGAGGGAGGGAGTCGGGAAGGGAGGGAGAAGGGGGAAGCGAAGCGAACCAGTCGCTGAAGACCTTACTTGAATTGAACACGTCTAGGAGGAGCAGGTTTAGCAGCGACCACAATTCCCTCAGGTCGTTCTGTTGGGGGAAGAAGAGCAGGGGCAAAAGGGGGATGCGAACCAGTCGTTGAAGACCTTGCTTGAGGCGAAGACATCTGGAATAGAAGGTTAAGAAGAGACCAGAGCTCCCGCAGGTCGTTCTGTTGGGTTTGGCCAACACACAGGGGGGAGAGAGCGCAGCCTCGTAAAGAAATCCCCCTTTATGGTTCTATATTGTTAGAGATAAGTAATCAAGCTCAGAAAAATCTTAAAGAGTTCTTTCCTCGTGCGTCACTTGAAATGTTTCAACCACATCGACCTCTTGTCAGGCATGAAATCCCTCCACACCCACATCAAAACATGAACCCGCACCAACGTGGTTGTGAAAATTCACACAGCGGTTTAAATAAGGGATGGGAAACATGCAGATGCGGGTTTGAGAAATGAGAATCTTATAACAAGGATACCCTAACAACCCACATCCGCATATTTCTCCCACCCTATTTTGAACTGGTGTGCGAATTCTCACAACCAGGTTGGTGCGGGTTCATGTTGTGATGTGGATGTGGAGGGATTTCATGACTGGTAGAAGGACGATGTGGTTGAAGCATTTCAAGTGACCCACGAAGAGAAAACTCTTGAAGATGCTTCTGAACTTAACTACCTACCTCTAACAATAAAAAACCACAAAGACAAAGGGGGAGAGCCCCTGCAAGCGTTCTGAAAGGAGAAGGAACAGGGGGAGAGATGACCTTAGAACCCGAAACTCGGAACCCTAAACCTTGGTAGCCCCCCCCCCTCCCCCTTCCTCCCTGCCCCCCTGCCTCCCTCCCCTCTCCTTCCCACCTGCAGGGGCGTGCCGGTGAGCAGCAGCCTCCTCTGCACTCTGAAGCGGTCCAAATCTCTTGACAGCCACGAGTCCCTGTCCTTCATGCGGTGGGCCTCGTCAATCACCAGGTAGCGCCAATCCACTCGAGAGAGACAAGACACGCCCTGAAACCTTAAACCCGAAACCCACCTGAAGGGGAGTGCCGGTGAGTAACAGCCTTCTTTGCACTCTAAATCGGTCCAGATCCCGTGACAACCGCGAGTCTCTGTCCTTCATGCGGTGGGCCTCGTCAATCACCAGGTAGCGCCAGTCCACTCGAGGGAGACAGCAACTCTAGAACCCGAAACCCAAAACCCACCTGGAGGGGAGTGCCGGTGAGCAGGAGCCGCCGCTGCACTCGAAACCGGTCCAGATCCCGTGAGAGCCGCGAGTCTCTGTCCTTCATGCGGTGGGCCTCGTCAATCACCAGGTAGCGCCAATCCACTTTGGAGAGCCGGGCTCTGTCCCGCATGATGAACTCGAATGTGGTTACCAGCACGTTGAACTTCATTGGGGCTACTTCCTGGGAGTTGGGAGAGGGGAGAGAGAGGGGCAAAGTGGGGGACGCAAGGAGTTTGAGCCACCCTTAACAGTCTACTTGGGAGAGACAGGCTCGGTCCCGCATGATGAACTCGAAGGTGGTTACCAGCGCGCTGAACTTCATTGGGGCTACCTCCTGGTAATCGCCAGGGATGGACAGAGGGGCAAGAGAGGGGAGAGAGGGTCTTTGGGGCACCTTGAAACGCCACCAGGTAGCGACTTTTGAGACGTCTCAAAAGGGTGTTTGGAGCACCTTGAAATGCCACCAGGTAGCACCAGTCTACACGGGAGAGGCGAGCCCGGTCGCGCATGATGAACTCGAACGTGGTTACCAGCACGTTGAACTTCATTGGGGCTACCTCCTGGGAGGGTAGAGGGCAGAGAAGGGAGGGTGGGGGCCTCGTCAATCACCAGGTAGCGCCAGTCCACTTTGGAGAGGCGCGCCCGGTCCCGCATGATGAACTCGAACGTGGTTACCAGCACGTTGAACTTCATTGGGGCTACCTCCTGGGAGGGTGGAGGGCAGAGAATGGGGGGTGGGGGCCTCGTCAATCACCAGGTAGCGCCAGTCCACTTTGGAGAGGCGCGCCCGGTCCCGCATGATGAACTCGAACGTGGTTACCAGCACGTTGAACTTCATTGGGGCTACCTCCTGGGGGTTGGAGGGGCAAGAAGGTTGGGAAGGGAGAGTGGGATTTTTTAGTTATGTCAGGAATTATTTACACACAAAAGCACGCGCACACAAACACCGATTGCCCCCCTTTACCTTGGCGTAGAGCTTGGCGCGCTGCTCCTTCCCTCCCACATAGAAGACAGCAGAGAGGGACGGCAGCCACGCGTGCAGCTCCGCCTTCCAGCTCACCAGCACGGCGTTGGGTTCTCTCTCTCCCTCTCACAGATACAAACACACACACCCAACCCCACCGAACCCCACCCCATCCCACCTTGGCATAGAGCTTGGCGCGCTGCTCCTTGCCTCCAACATAGAAGACAGCGGAGAGGGAGGGCAGCCATGCGTGCAGCTCCGCCTTCCAGTTCACCAGCACGGCGTTGGGTACGATGATGAGATGAGGGCCGTAGTTGCCCTTGTGCTCCATGAGATAGGCCAGTAGTGCCATGACCTGTTCATAGGGAGATGCATGGCAAGGTGGCAGGGGTAAGGGTATCAGTCAGTGGGACAACAGTGGTAGAGGCGTGCAGCTCCGCCTTCCAGTTCACGAGCACGGCGTTGGGAACGATGATGAGGTGCGGGCCGTAGTTGCTCTTGTGCTCCATCAGATAGGCCAGTAGTGCCATCACCTGTTTGGGGAGTTCAAGGGAGTTGAGGGGGGTTGAAAGGAGTTGAAGGAGGTAGTTGAAGTGAGTTCACCAGCACGGCGTTGGGCACGATGATGAGGTGCGGGCCGTAGTTGCCCTTGTGCTCCATCAGGTAGGCGAGTAGGGCCATGACCTGGTGCGGGGAGTGGGAGGCACGAGGTGGGTGGGGGGCAAGAGGGATGAGCAGTTGGGAGGCACGATGATGAGGTGCGGGCCATTGTTGCCCTTGTGCTCCTTCAGGTAAGCGAGTAGGGTTATCACTTGGTGAGGGAAAGAGGAGGGGGGAGGATGGTACAGAATGCCTTATTATACTTATGGTGGTGATGTTTCAAATGTGTAGGTGTCATAACTGTAATAATAATGGCGATTATGACCAGCCTGCCCCACTTTTCTCCCAACAGCAGGAGACCATAGCACTGCTGATGTAACAATTGAGAACACTCTGTGAAAAACAAGGCCAGGTACATGCTCATCACTAACCAGCACCGTACCGAACCTCTCGGCACCTGCCAGCACCGCACTGCACCCACCTGCACTGTCTTCCCCAGGCCCATCTTGTTCACCAGAATGCCGTTGAGTCGATTGTTGTAGAGCGATACCATCCACTGCAGCCCCACCTGCACCTACCAGCACCATCCAGCACCACACTGCACCCATTTAGCACCGCACTGCACCCACCTGCACCGTCTTGCCCAGGCCCATTTCGTCCGCCAGAATGCCGTTGAGTCGATTGTTGTAGAGCGATACCATCCACTGCAGCCCCACCTGGTTACCACCATGGAAAAAAAGGGTTACACATTACAACACAGGGTAAAAAAAGTAAAAGGCAAGGACAATCTCTTTCTGATGGAATAAAAGAAAGACAATACCAGCAATGCTCAAAGAATTCCAATTGCAGCCGGCCGGTCAAAGTGTTGCTGTTTGAAATCGCAGGAATCGACTTACCACTTGGCAAACCCTAGGGTTTAGGGTTATAGGACTCCCCATCCTCAGGATAACAGGTGGGACTCTAAAAAAACAGCAGCGCTTGTACTCACCATCTGGTACTCTCTCAGGGTGCCCATACGCAGCATGGACGGCTGGTGAGTGATGGCCTCAGAGACCGAATGGGCCAACTTGTAGTACCTGAATAGATGTCACAATAGCGAGGGGGAAGAGGCAAAGAGGTGGGCATTCGGAAGACTTTTAAGCAGAAAAAAAAACCCTAAACCCTGAAAACACACACACACACACACACACACAAAACACCAGCAGGTTTGGTTGCACTAAGTATGCCATTTCCCCGGGAAAATCGATAAATATGGTAAAAACAATCCAAAACCCCTGTGAACGCACTTGGACACAGCAGCGACTCCCGTCTCCCTCGGGACCGTTATTGCATGACAGGCTAGCCACCACCCTCTGGCCCGTCTCCCTCGGGTCCCTCAGAACAAGTGTGAGGCTCCAGATTGCAGTGCACAAACAAGGAAGACAACGGACAGAACTCACTTGGACACAGCAGCCGCGCCCGTCTCTCCTCCAACCCCGTCTCCCTCGGGACCGTCGTTGCGTGACAGGCTGGCCACCACCCGTTGAACATACGCCTCCACTTCCTCCTCGCTCATGCCCTGTGGAAGAGAGAAGGGTGGTAGGAGAAGAGAGATAATGAGTAGCAGGAGAGAGTGCCACTGCATGACAGGCCTGCCACCACCCGTTGAACATACGCCTCCACTTCCTCCTCGCTCATACCCTGTGGAAGAGAGAGAGGGTGGGAGAAAGAAAGAGTGCTGGTAGGAAGAGAGAGATTATGAGTAGTATGAGAGACCGTCAGTGTGTGACAGGCTTGCCACCACCCGCTGAACATACGCCTCCACCTCCTCCTCGCTCATACCCTGTGGGAGAAAGAAACGGGAAGGGAGGGGTGAGAGCGATGGAGGAGAGGGGAGCGAGAGAAGTGAGATATCGTTGCCCACCTTTATTTAGTCGGCTCAAAAGTCACAACACCCCACCCCACCCCACCCCACCCTTCCCCACCCTGCCCTTTCACTCACCTTCTCCCTGGCTTCAGCAGCAGCAGCCACTGCCGCTTCCTCCACCTCCTGAACGCTCTTAGCCGCACAGATTTTCCCTCCGAGCTTCCGCAAATACTCCTCCGTCTGGCTGAGAAACGAGCTCAGCATTTCAAACCTCTCCTTCGCACCCTTCCCAACCCCCGCCTTCTCCTTCTCTTCCTCCAACATCGCTCTATAAGCATCCATGTCGTTACTCTTCAGTAACATCTCCACACGCTTCTGCCTCTCCTCCTCTCGCCGTCTCGCCGCCTCCCTCGCAGCCTGCTCGTGGAACCGCACTACGTGCCGATTCCGCACCGTCCGCCAATCGCGCGCCGCCAGCTGGCGGTCGGCGAGGATCTGGCGCCGCGCGGCGAAGACGGCCTTGAGCAGCCGGTCACGGGCGGAGCGGCGCGTCACGGCGTGCGACTTGGCGATTTCGGCTCGTTGGCGGTGGGCCCAGCGCAGGAAGGAGCGGTAGGGGCGGTCCGGCATGGCTTGAATCTCCTGCTCCTCTGCCACCAACTCCCTCCTCACCTTCGCCTGAACAAGTCAAGTAAATTGTGGAGGGGCGAAAGGGGAGCGGACGAAAGGGAGGCAACATTGGCAAGCCTTTTGAAAAATCTCAAGCCCTCTGGAGGTTATGACATGTCGGCCCGTTGCCGGTGGGCCCAGCGCAGGAAGGAGCGGTAGGGGCGGTCCGGCATGGCTTGGATCTCCTGCTCTTCCGCAACCAGTTCCCTCCTAACTTTCGCCTGCACAAGAGTTGATTCATGGGGAGAAGGGGAGCAGACGCAAGGCGGAGCAGGGAGAAAGCTTTGGCAAGACTTTTGAGAAGCCTCAGGGAAAGAGCTCGGCATGCCCTCCTTCCGGCCCGTTGCCAGCATGCGACTTGGTGATTTCGGCTTGTTGCCGGTGGGCCCAGCGCAGGAAGGAGCGGTAGGGGCAGTCCGGCATGGCTTGAATCTCCTGCTCCTCTGCCACCAACTCCCTCCTCACCTTCGCCTGAACAAGTCAAGTAAATTGTGGAGGGGCGAAAGGGGAGCGGACGAAAGGGAGGCAACATTGGCAAGCCTTTTGAAAAATCTCAAGCCCTCTGGAGGTTATGACATGTCGGCCCGTTGCCGGTGGGCCCAGCGCAGGAAGGAGCGGTAGGGGCGGTCCGGCATGGCTTGGATCTCCTGCTCTTCCGCAACCAGTTCCCTCCTAACTTTCGCCTGCACAAGAGTTGATTCATGGGGAGAAGGGGAGCAGACGCAAGGCGGAGCAGGGAGAAAGCTTTGGCAAGACTTTTGAGAAGCCTCAGGGAAAGAGCTCGGCATGCCCTCCTTCCGGCCCGTTGCCAGCATGCGACTTGGTGATTTCGGCTCGTTGCCGGTGGGCCCAGCGCAGGAAGGAGCGGTAGGGGCGGTCCGGCATGGCTTGAATCTCCTGCTCCTCTGCAACCAATTCTCTGCGCACCTTTGCCTGCATAGGATGGGTGAGTGTAAAGGGGCGGAAAGGAGCATGGTTGAGGAGGAGGGGCAGGGAGGCAGCATTGGCAAGACTTTAGTCCCATTCCGTGAGGAAGCTTTGACTTGCCAACTTGTTGCCGGTGGGCCCAACGCAGGAAGGAGCGGTAGGGGCGGTCGGGCATGGCTTGAATCTCCTGCTCCTCCTGGGCACCTGAAGCAACACCTCGGAAATTGACCACAAAGCACCTGAGCATGTGACCACGCATGCAACCACTGCGTACCTGACAACACACAACCACGGTACCTGAAAACACACCACCTGGACACCTGAAATCACACCACCTGGGCACCTGAAATCACACCACCTGGACACCTGAAAACACACCACCTGGGCACCTGAAATCACACCACCTGGACACCTGAAAACACACCACCTGGACACCTGAAATCACACCACCTGGGCACCTGAAATCACACCACCTGGACACCTGAAAACACACCACCTGGGCACCTGAAATCACACCACCTGGACACCTGAAATCACACCTGAAAGTCGGCAAGTCGCAGCATCTTCTGATGAATCCGAAGCTTGAGGCGATCCCTACGGGTCAGCACCACCCCCGACGCATCACCAGCACCACCAGCATCACCATTACCACCAGTACCACCACCATTCCCTTCCTCTTTCTCCACCCCATCTCCGCCTCTCCGCCCCTCCTCTCCTCGCTCCTCCCGTTCATCCTCCCCTCCTGCCAGCGGCAGCAGGGGGGGTAGGTCCTTCGCAGGCATGACACTTGGTGCAGCAGCAGCAGAAAGAAAAGTTGAATCACCCGAAGTGGGAGGCACAGCACCCGAAGCAGCAGCGGGAGGAGTTGAATCAGCAGCAGAAGGAGGATGAGGATGAGTCTCCCCCAGCAGTCGAGCAATTTCCTTCAGCCGAGCCTCCCTGTTCGCCCGAACCATCTGCCCCACCTCCTCCCGAACCAGCCCCTGCAGGTTCGTGCCGAACCGCACCTGCCGCAGCGCCGCCCGAACCTCCTGCTGGCTCATCCGTGCTATAGCCTCTGCCACTCTCGCTTTCTGACTCGACTCATAACCCCCACGCATCCCTCTCCCTCCTGCTTCTCCCGATGCTCCTTCTCCTGCTGCCCCTCCCATCTCTCCGATTCCTCCTCCTCCATCTCCCCCCCCGTCTTCTCCTGTCCCTCCTCCTCCCATCCCATCCACCCCCTCTACTGCAGAACCCAAAACTATCTCTTCAGCCGTCACTCCAATCCTGCCCTTCCTGCCATCCTTACCCCCCATCGCTGCACGAATCAAATCCCCAAACCCTCCCGCCTCACTCATACCACCTGCCCCCGTCGACCCTCCTCCAAAACCCCCAGTAAAACCCCCGGCAACAACCCCCCCTGCTGCTGCACCCTCACCTGCAGCATCCCCGGTCCCCCCTGCAGCACCTTCAGCTATCGCTGCTTGAATAAGAGCCCTAAACCCTAGCGCCTCCCCAGCAGCAGCCACTGCCACGCCAGCAATGGCAGCAGGAGAGGGGGGCGGCGGGGGCGTTGGAGGCTTGGGGACAGCTGCGGCTCGGGCCGGACCTCCTGCCGAGCCTCCGCCCGGGGCTCTTCCCAAACCTGTTGCTCCGGCAGCAGCAACGGAAGCGCCTGCAGCAGCAGCAGAAGCAGGCTGGGTTGAGACTGAGCCTTTTACAGGTGCACCTGCTGCTGCTGCTGCTGCTGCCGCCCCTCCATTCTCAACAGACCCAATCTGGTCCTCTTGCATCCTGCCACCTGCAAGGATTGCAGCAGCGGCAGCAGCAGCAGCAGCAGCACCAGCAGCAGCACCAGCAGCAGCAGAAGCAGCAGCAGCAGAAGCAGCAGCAGCAGAAGCAGCAGCAGCAGCTGCACCTGCAGCAGAACCAGGTAAAACGGCACCTCCAAGCCTCTTACTGCTGCCAGCACCACCAGCAGCAGCCGCAGCAGCACGACCCTTTAGCACTGCTTCAACTTGCTGCTGGCTCAAATTGGCTTTCGA